AATTTATGGACTCAAAGTTTGGAGAAACAAACTACATGGTAGTGTTATGATAAATATCTATATTTTGATTCCAATTCTGAAATATCTGACATGGTTCCATTACTCATTTTCCACAGTATCTACCGTATAGCCTACACCGATACAAGCGGTGTCTCTCTTTCCTCTCCGACAGTGAGTTTGACACACATCCGCCTAATTACAGAGTCTGAATGTCTGCGCGGGATTGCACGTATTCTATAATTTAATAATTCCCGTGCAAATGTGGTGAGCACTTTACTGTAATATGAGAACACAGTCATGTAATCGCAGAAAACTGGATGCGAGCTCTCAAATAGGCCTAACTTATACAAATTAACTGCCTGTCCTCTCACTCCGATATTGCTTGTGCGCATGTGTACAATCGCAATCTCTCCATGCTTTTAAAGTAGAAGTTATTTCTTAAACTTTATTAAACTTTGTCAAAAGTTATCAGAATAGATCCATGCCTGACCGATGAAAATCCTACTGGAAATGTTATTGGCTGTACGTGAAATGCACCAGAAAGTCTTTCAACAATCAAAGATGGAACTTTAATTTCTTTACAATGTAAATTTATGCTAGAAATGTTTCAGAATGGGATATTTGTATGATTTGTGCATATAAACATCCTAGTCTGTCTAACTGCATCACTACATTGTACAGTCATTACAGGTCAAAGCCATCTGATCCAAAGCCATCATATCTAAATAAATAGGCCTAACATACTCTATATGGCCCTTAAATCACTGCTTATAAAAATTCAGTGTTGTCATATTTCAAATACCTCAACTGAATTGAGGTCATTTGTTTTATAATTTTATTATTGACTGTGAACTTGTCTTTTTTTGTAAATTCAATTCAGTTTGAAATCAAAGTTGAAATCAAGCTTTCTTGTGCTGTAAGCCTTTGCAACAAAGTGGCCCTATTTTAAAGACACAAATACACAGAATGAGCAAATGTTTAAGATTGAGATTTTTGTAATGGTAATTTATCAATGTTTATATGTATGTAAATAAAATCGTTCATCATATAAAGCGAACATGTCTTTTTAGAAGACTTGGATTAAACCTCTCAAAACTTGAAATAATAATTGCCTTAAAAAAATGGATGGACAAAAAAATTTTAGATATTAAAATATTTATATGGCAGTATACAGTATGTGGTAGTTTTGCCAATGGTGAATTGCAAATTGCAATTGCAAATGATTGTTGAAAAAGTCGTCATGAAATCAAAAATTACCCTACTTTTTTAGTGCACATTACTAGTCTTCTGTTGAACAATTGAACCATCGTCTGCCATCGTAATCTTTAATCAAAAACTGAAAATTGGCTTCCACTCTGGAATGGCGTTCTGGCTCTGATGACGTCAGTTTAACGGCTTGGGGAGAATCCTCTTGTTAAGTCATGATGACATAAGGACTGCTGTTTCCGGTCCATGCCTCTACTCATTTCACTTGAGAATACTATCTCAACAGCCATTTATGAGCACTATTTAATTAATATTACATATTTAAGCAAAGCATTTAAAAATGTGCTGTGCACACTACAGTCTCCTGTGTCACATTGTCTCAGACACTAATATTTTAGCTTAATCACTGTCTGGCCATCTGGGATTTCAGTATGGAGATAAAGGTTAGGGTTATATTTTTTCAGTATTACATGACATTGTGGGTGTATATTAAGACAGTTTATTGTTTTCTTGGGGCGTCTGGCAGAGCGTCAGGACCCAGAAGCGGTGAAGCGTGATGTCAAACGCAACAAGTAGATATACTAAACCACTCCTATCCAACCATGAATCTGCTATGAGCAAGAGGTGGAGTGGAGGTGCACCACATCCACATAGATCTTTGATATGAATGAATATTTTTTGGCAATTCATTAAATATCGGCAGCTAAAAAGTAACTAGTAACTAGTACTCTGAGTAGTTTTTGAGAAGAGTAATTTGTACTTTTACTTAAGTACTGTTTTGATACCAGTACTTTTACTTGTAATTGAGTATTATTTCAGCAATGTAACAGTACTTGTACTTAAGTACACATTTTCAGTACTCTTTCCACCACTGGCATCAATCATAACAATCATAGCAACAACCTAGCAATAACCACAACATCAACTATATTCCGATAACATGGCAATGCCCTAGAAACAACACAAAACTTGCTAACAACTATATAGCAATGAGCTAAAAACTAAAAATACCACAAATTAACTTGCTAAGAAACATTTTGAACATCATAGCAATTACCCAAGCCACAAAAGCAACAAGAACATGCTAAACACCACTCAGAACACCACATAAATGCCCTAAACTATATGCAGCCCATGCTAGCAACATTAGCACCATGCTAAAGAAAAACACTCAGAACCACAGCAGAGTCCTACCCAGAACTTGCTAGCAACATCTGCCGGGCCAAGCAGCTGTCACAGAAAATGTAAACACGAAGTTACGTGTTATACTGTAAAAAGATGTGTATTGTTATGTATATTGTTTTTCCACCACATTGCCACATCACATTCTAGTAATTAACATTGCAATGTGTCATTTAATGAATGTTATACTTGAGTTGCCCTCAGACACAGAAGAGTCATGGGATTGTCTGACTGACTGCTGTGCTTTGGCACAAATGTGCTATTGTTTTATTGTGACAGCAGTTTATAGAGCTGAGGTTGTGCTGAATCTTGTAGCCAAGGATTTGTCAGAAGAAGAGCTAGCTGTGTTAAGAGATGTGTCCTACATTCAGTGTCATATTGCGTGCCAAAATTAACTTCTGTTTGAATCACTAATGTAACGCTAGGGAATTGTGCATTACGTTCAATCCCCTGTAGCTTCTGAATGACTTTACAGGTTTATTTATAATGTCACCACGTTTGATTCATGTCTGCCCTTCTGTGAGCATGTGGGAGAAATCATTTTCTCCAGATTCCGCCCAAACAGGCACAAAAGTGCACAGCTGTGCTCAGCTAACTGTATTTGCTTACAGATGTTTAAATTTATTTGACTAGGGAGGAATCTAATGACTTTTCTCAGCAGTGTATGGTAATCCACCCCAACGACCTCATACCTGAGAACTAGGATGGAAAGATACACATGTGCCTTGATATTCTCAGTTCAATCCACTCCTGTCAGTGAAGGGAAGTACGTGTTTGTGCAAGTATGTCAGGGCCAGTGGTACCACCAGATTTATCTAATTATCTCTTGTATTTTATTTTGTACAAAATTATTAAGGTGAAGAGTGTAATTTGCATGTGTGTGTGTGTGTGTGTGTGTGTTAAAATGTTTTCTTCTACTTCAGTTTAATGAGACAACTTTAAACAATCCATTCATTAATTGATTTACCTACGGCTGGCCGAACACTGGACGATTTTCAAATTTTACAATTTACCATTGTATATAAGATCAGCCTCCTCTTTTCAGGTTTTTAAATCTTCACTTAAGACTTATCTTTCTGAAACGGCTTATGGTCTGGAGTAAATGCTGTCAAATATTTGATAATGTGTGATGTTATCTTTGTCATAATTTGTGATTTGTTTTATATGGTTAGTTGTTTTATGTATTTTGTTTTTTAATTTTGTACAGCACTTTGGTCGACACTGTCGTTATTAAATGTGCTATATAAATCAATAAAACTAAACTAACTAAACTAAACTAATGAGGTCGCATTCCCATTCATCTCAATGGCAGTCCAGGAAGTGCATGACCTGCATCGTGCCATTTTTGTTAATGTTACCAATTACTTATTACTTATAAGTAAAAGGTCAAATTTTACACCAGTATGGGGGGCAAAAAATATATAAAAAACTTTAATTACTGCATGAAATACCTTGATTTGTTTAAATATAGTAGGGCTCCAATTTAATCAACCCCAAACTTCTGAGAAAACAGCATCCAAAATAAAAACCTAAATGCTGAATAAACCTCAGCTAACCTCTATCAATTAAACTGGTATGTTTTTCACTCGTGCTTGTCATTAATACCTCCTCATGCTTCCTCTTTAACAGTCTCACACATCTATCCCTTATGCTTTGACTTAAATTGCACATTTCTCCTTCCACCAACACCTTCCTGCCTGCTTTAATTTTAGTATTACTGTCTAGTGTGACTGGCGCTCTCCTCTGAGCCCTGAGATCATTCTAGAACCATTTGCTAGGGAGAACATGAAATCCTGCATATTCGTGATGGTCAATACACTCTTTTGAATAGCACTACTGACGCTCAAATTATTAGTCTGAATTGTATTTATAATGACCCCGAATGCTGTTTAACCAGGAAGTAATAATCTTTGATATAATTTGTACATTTGAGGTTTTTGATTTTTAGCTGTGTTTTCCACACAGTCAGAAGAATGTGCAAAAATTGTACCTTTAGAGGTACATCTGGTGTAGTATCTTTAAAAGGTCAACTTTGCACCTTATCTACCCCTAAAAGGTGCATATTAGTACCTTAGTATGGGTAAAATAAGTACAAAGATGTCCCTTCGAGGGTGACTTTGAAGCTGCTGTGTCCCTAAAGGCAAACTTTTGCACTATTTTTTGAGAGTGCACAAGTATGACCAGCTACACTAAGAGTTTCGTCTCCTCCCAGGATCTGATGCATGAATAATAAAGTTTGACTCAATGCCCCGAGTGCTTGAGGCAGCTGAAAATGGCTCATCACCTGTTGTAGTCGCAGCTGTCTCCAAACACTGCTAGTGAACCCTTCATTTATGTGGGGAATTGAAGTCAAAGACACTTGCATAAAAACTTGCAGACAAAGTATAAAAGAATAGTCTGGGATTGGTAAAACTTGCCGACTCATGAGTCTCCTCAGAGCTTTATGTGTCCTGTGACAGCTGCTGTCTAGAATGGCCATCACACTGGGATTCCTTTCTTCACAACTAGGATTGAGGGATGACAGAGGCAGTGGGGGTGGACAAGAGCGGGAGGGTTATATTTAGAATGGCAGGATTAAATAACAGCCCCTTCACTCTGGGAATCTTTTCAGCACTCTGTCCTTTTCCAGCCCGGCCGGTGTGGCGAGCAGACCTGGAGCCACCTTCTCCCATTTTTCTTCTCTTATCCGTCAATTCCCATCTTGAAACGCAACAGCATGGATCCTAAAGCCATGAAGGAGGAGCTACGGCTGTTCCAGAGCACCTTGCTTCAGGATGGACTGAAGGAACTTCTGAACGAGAACAAGTTTGTTGACTGCACTTTGAAAATCGGCGACCGCTGCTTTCCCTGCCACCGCCTGATCATGGCCGCCTGTAGTCCTTACTTCAGAGAGCTCTTCTTCTCTGAAGACGGCAAGGAGAAGGAAAGCGGCAAGGAAGTGATTCTGGATGACGTTGATCCAAATATCATGGATATGATCATCCAGTATCTGCATTCCGCTGAGATCGACTTGACGGACGACAACGTTCAGGAGATCTTTGCAGTGGCGAACCGTTTCCAGATTCCCTCAGTGTTTACAGTATGTGTGAACTATCTCCAGAACAAGCTGTCGCTGTTTAATTGTCTCGCCGTCTTCAGGCTTGGCCTGGTCCTCGGCGTTCCCAGGCTCGCCATAGCGGCACGCGATTTCATCGCTGACCGATTCGAAACCGTGGCGGCTGAGGACGAATTCCTTCAGCTGGCACCTCACGAGCTCTTGGCTCTGATTGGTGGAGACACGCTTAACGTGGAGAAGGAGGAGGTTGTGTTTGAGTCGGTGATGAAGTGGGTGCGCAGCGACAAGGCCAAGCGCGCCAAGAATCTGGGCGAAGCGTTCGAGTGCATCCGTTTCCGCCTTCTTCCGGAGAAGTACTTCCGGGAGAAAGTCGAGACCGATGACATCATCAAGGCAGATCCAGAACTCTTGAAGAAGCTGCAAGTCATCAAAGAAGCCTTCGGAGGAAAACTCCCCGAGAAGAAACCCAAAGAGAAGAAGGAAGGAGAGGCTGGAGCAGAGGAGGAAGAGGAGCTGCTGCCGGGTTACTTGAACGATAATCGTAGACTGGGGATGTATGGACGAGACCTGATCCTCATGATCAATGACACGGCTGCTGTGGCGTACGACGTGGCCGAGAATGAGTGTTTTCTGGCTGCCATGGCAGAGCAGCTGCCGAAGAACCACGTGAGTCTCTGCACCAAGAAGAACCAGCTCTTTATCATTGGTGGCCTGTTTGTCGATGAAGACAGCAAAGAGTCTCCTCTGCAGTGCTACTTCTACCAGGTACAAAATTACTTTAAAAACTAGGTGCTGGTGTGATGGTAACCACACTAGTTTTCTTAAACTAGCTTTACCAGAAGGGATCTCCATGGTCTTCACCAAGAGGATCATGCTGGTCCACACAGAAAATGTAAACACGAAGTTACGTGTTATACTGTAAAAAGATGTGTATTGTTATGTATATTGTTTTTCCACCACATTGCCACATCACATTCTAGTAATTAACATTGCAATGTGTCATTTAATGAATGTTATACTTGAGTTGCCCTCAGACACAGAAGAGTCATGGGATTGTCTGACTGACTGCTGTGCTTTGGCACAAATGTGCTATTGTTTTATTGTGACAGCAGTTTATAGAGCTGAGGTTGTGCTGAATCTTGTAGCCAAGGATTTGTCAGAAGAAGAGCTAGCTGTGTTAAGAGATGTGTCCTACATTCAGTGTCATATTGCGTGCCAAAATTAACTTCTGTTTGAATCACTAATGTAACGCTAGGGAATTGTGCATTACGTTCAATCCCCTGTAGCTTCTGAATGACTTTACAGGTTTATTTATAATGTCACCACGTTTGATTCATGTCTGCCCTTCTGTGAGCATGTGGGAGAAATCATTTTCTCCAGATTCCGCCCAAACAGGCACAAAAGTGCACAGCTGTGCTCAGCTAACTGTATTTGCTTACAGATGTTTAAATTTATTTGACTAGGGAGGAATCTAATGACTTTTCTCAGCAGTGTATGGTAATCCACCCCAACGACCTCATACCTGAGAACTAGGATGGAAAGATACACATGTGCCTTGATATTCTCAGTTCAATCCACTCCTGTCAGTGAAGGGAAGTACGTGTTTGTGCAAGTATGTCAGGGCCAGTGGTACCACCAGATTTATCTAATTATCTCTTGTATTTTATTTTGTACAAAATTATTAAGGTGAAGAGTGTAATTTGCATGTGTGTGTGTGTGTGTGTGTGTGTTAAAATGTTTTCTTCTACTTCAGTTTAATGAGACAACTTTAAACAATCCATTCATTAATTGATTTACCTACGGCTGGCCGAACACTGGACGATTTTCAAATTTTACAATTTACCATTGTATATAAGATCAGCCTCCTCTTTTCAGGTTTTTAAATCTTCACTTAAGACTTATCTTTTTGAAACGGCTTATGGTCTGGAGTAAATGCTGTCAAATATTTGATAATGTGTGATGTTATCTTTGTCATAATTTGTGATTTGTTTTATATGGTTAGTTGTTTTATGTATTTTATTTTTTAATTTTGTACAGCACTTTAGTCGACACTGTCGTTATTAAATGTGCTATATAAATCAATAAAACTAAACTAAACTAAATCTTAAACGATTTTAAAACCATGGGAGACCGCAGACATGAAGACAGTTCAACCGATTTTCGCCTTATAATCCTCTGAACACACGCACTAGATGATTCGACCAGACCACGAGACCACACACGTGGTGACTGTAGGAACGATTTCACAGTGACACGAGATCTCACAGAGACTCGCGAGTTCAAATGTGACTTGAGAAGAAAAACAAATAGAGGACGATCAACGTTGTCAGCTGGCTCTCCTGGCGCGTGTTCTGTTTCACAGTGAAAAACAAAGTATAAAAAGAAATATGGGTGATGTACTCTGCTTTCATTGCATGTTTGTGGCTGCCAAGTTTCAGCTATAGAAGCACACAACATCCGGTAGGTGACGCTTGCTCGCTCTCATTGGCTATCGTGGGTATCACGTCAGAGGCAGTCCGATCAAGAGTCGTAAATATCTAACATGTTTGATATTTACGATTTGAGTTCGGGAACGGTCCGTCTCGATCGGGAGCAGATAAATAATCATAATGACACCACACAATAGAGGATTTTTTGGACAAAAAATCATTTGCGACAAGCCACAAATCGGGCCACACCCCCTGATCGTTCGGGTATGCTAATAGGGCTTAAAATCGGCCTTAAAATCGTCTAGTGGGCAGTGAGCCTAATAGTTCAACTATAGTCCTCTATCCATAATATTGCTTTCTCCAGTGAAAAATATCACCTTGTCTGAATCAGGAGAGAAATATGCACAGATCAAGCACTGTTTACAAGTCAAAACAGTCAAAAGCATTTCTAAACAAATATGTCTGTAGATTTTGATGTGAGAGAACAACTTTCTGGTGGCACCCATTCACTGTAGAGAATCTATTGGTGAGCAAGTGATGTAACGTTAAATTTCTCCAAATCTGTTCAGATGAAGAAACAAACTCATCTACATCTTGGATGACCCCCCGCCCCCCACCCCAAAAAAAAGCGTGTAACTAATATTATCAAAATAAGATCCATAAATATAAGGCCAGGGTAACTGTTCAACACAGTTTTAATTTTTTGAATTTTTTTTGTTGTTGTTGTTGTTTCTCCTTACTTTGTTGAATAAAATACAAAGTAAGATTTGGAATGGGTTTACTGTGTATTTGGATATTATGCACTAAAATATATAATTACAGGTAATTGCGTTCCTTGTGTCACTAACATAATTAGATAATGATTATTGGTGGGTTTTCACTGCAAAACTGAAGAAATGAAACTGAAAAGTTATAAATTCAGTCATCTTGGGCCCCAGTAATAAGGGAAAAAAAGGCATGCTGAACCTTTTTAAGACTGCTTACCATTGTTTACAAGCACTAGAATTCCTTCAGGAAATGCAAATTATTTTGCCATTTCTGTTTGCTGCCACTAGTGGTGCAGAAATTACATACTTCACCTTTAATAGTGAAGCCCAGGGTGAATTAAATGAATACCTTATGACCAGTGGGGTGTCACATCATCTTGTATGTTCCTCCTCTGGCCTGAGTGATGCGGATACAACCAGAATGTGGTAGACTCCAAGTACCCAGACCTTAAAACTCTCTTGACAATTCAGACAGGCAACCACAAACAAACTGTGAAGCTGGGCAGAATAATCCATACCACCAGAAGCGTATAAATAATGCAGCTATTGAGAGTACAATAGGGCTTTGGTGTCCCAGTGTAAGTTACATCTCCCATAGGACTGTCCAAAGGAAGCACCTAGACTGAGATTCTGATAACAGAAAAATTCAACCATACTGTTCAAACCATAACCATTAAATTTTTTCTTAAAAACTTTTGACTTTGCCACCAAAGTAAACGATCTCCTCACTTAGTGCCAGCGTCTCTTTTGATGAAAAATTCCACATTTCCTGCTTATATTGATGTACTTTGAGCCTTTGAAATCATCCCCTGAGCATTTAATGGTAATGTAAATGAAGGGATGCTGGTTTTACACTATAATTTCTGTCTTTTTAAAAGCACTCGGATCAGAGTGGGATTTATAACATTCTCAAGAGTATGGACAGCCAGTACAAGCTAACACTTTAGTGTCCCTAGTAAAAAAGTAATATATTTAAAATACATTCATTTCATACTATGTATAGTTCAAATGTATTAACATATTTACTGACATATTGATCAAGACTTACTGATATAAAAAATTATAATTAAACTTTATTTGGAGTATTCCTTGTGTACAATGCATTTCTTAATATTAAGCCTAAATTGTGTCTTAATGTCACTATTGATGATGATTGTATGATCTTTGGATAATATCGGTCTTTAAATGCAAGATAATTTGAAGTGTAACTACTTCCACACAATTAAAGTGCATTAAGCATAAATTTAGTTGTTCCAATTTAGCAGACTTTAAGTATACCAGTTTAGTATACTAAAAGTTCAATTGCAGGGTATGTTTATTAAGTACATATATATGAATATTAAGTACATATTTTATTAAGTACATAAATATAAATATGTAAATGTATTTGTAGTATACTTAGCATTAAATAAATGTATTGCTCATGGCTTCTAAATGTATGCATCTGATTCAGACATTTCTCATAGACTGTAATGATATGCTGTAATTATATCAAACAATTTTGTGTAAAATTGTAGCTTAGTTGAAGCTTACTTGCATTAAAATTTGAATAGTAAATGTGTGGTCACATTTACTGCTGCTCTACAAAATTTCAGTAATTTCAATAGGAATCCGTACAATTCAGACGTCTGCGTCAGGGTGAAAACGGTGTCCACACAGATTCTGTTCATGTTCAAATTGGTCACGCAAATTCACGCTTGCCGACAAGAAAGCTGCTTGGTTTGAAAGCAACTTCTGTGTGAGCAATGCTTTATCCATCGCTGCACTATTAACAATGGAAAAAGTACCTTATTTATTTATTTTTTTTGCCCACAAAATTTCCCTTAATTATTACTAATGTGGCTACACCTTAAGGCTGTATCGCATATTTGCAGAAAAAAAAAGCGCATACGCTCTGGTGGTGTTTACACAACACCATTTTCAACTAAAACCGGAAACGTTTTTATGCGTTTTTTTTTTACCTCAAACCTGAAAATGCAAACTTTGGAAAATAGGTTTCAAAGTGCAAGTTTTTGAAAATTATACCTTTATCGTATCTGTGTAAACTACAAAAATGCAAATTTATGAAAACAGTGACGTCATGCACACGGATTACGTGTTCAGTCTACAAGTATGTGTGCATGCGTGTAGTGTTTCTTTGCAAAGTGACATCGCCAACTACTGGCCTGGCATGCGTAATACAGCGTTTTTAGTCATTTTTGCAGATCAGTGGGAACGGGATTGTTTTGACAACATTGTCTTCTGTACACTAAACGTTTTAAAAATGCAAAGCAAAAAAAATGTCTCTGTTTTTAATACAATCTCATGTAAACACCCTCTGAGTAGGTGCTTCTTTGGAATAATTATTTTGCAACTGTTATAAAATACTACTCTTTTCACATAGTGTTTTCACTTACTATATAGTAGGGAACTATGCAATTTTGCATGCAGCCTAAGTAATTTTGTCCCATGCAATCTTAGCTAAGTACTAACTCAAGTGTTCATTTGTGTGAAATTAATACACTGAATGCTGCAGGACTGATTCATTTTAAGGACATTCTCTTGGAAAGAAAGCTTGTAATATATCTGTTTAAAATTGCAGGATAGCTCTTTT